TATTGGTGGGTTTACATCTGATCAGTGTTCAGACGATAGACAAGCAGGGTAATCTGGTTCTGTTTTGGTTTTTTAATTATTAAATTACACCTTTGAAAAAATTTTATCTTGTGTATCCGAAAAGAGTTTATGTTCACAAAGTGTTTTTAAGGGAACGATCCCATTTGACCAGGAAACTTTGCCTTCAGAGATCATGGACTTAACAGTTTAAGCAAAGCACTGGCACAATTTTCATTCATTTAAAGACTGAAGAGGAAAAGCTCTGCAGGCCACTGTCACTCTCAAGCGTGTATTAGTGACAGAGGAAGCTGTTTGCCACGAGGGAGCTGGCAAATCTAGATATACAAGTAACACACATTGTGTGTTTTGCTGGAACAGGGTGGGGGATGGTGCTTTTTCTTGGGTTTGTTTTAGTTTCCATTTCTTGGTGGTGGCAGTTTCTTTCGTGGTAATCTTACTGATGCTTGGGTTCTAAACACCAAAGTGTGTATTAATATTGAGAAATCTCAAGTACTGAGCAATCTGATATTGTTCCATTGTCCTGACATGCTGTTTTAAAATAGGGACAGTTACTTCAGTTTTTCTGAATGTTCTTGGAAATACTATTGTTTGCAGAACTGGTATATCCTATGTAGCAGTGACTGGGTGATTAATTACAATTTGTCAGGTTCATTAATATTTTTGTAGTGGCGGGAGTGGTGCCATTAGTCATTCTGTTTCACAATCTAAGTGTTCTCTCCTTTTTCTGGAGCTGTTTGGTAGCTGTCGAACTTACTGAGAAGGCAAGAGACAGCAGCATATATTCACTGTAAAATAAAACTGTCCATGGTTAGTGCAAATTTAGGGCTAGTTTAAGAAGCGACAGAACTTGCATCTGGCTCTATGGTTTGAATTCCTCGAGATCACTCCTGGCTTCTGCAGGTGTGAACGTGTTACACAGCAGATCAGCATGTAACACTGAGGTACCAATTGTACACAGTACAGCGAGAGACAACTGACTTCTAATAAATAAAAGTAAATTAGTCTGACAGAATCACTTCAGAAAACAGAGAACAACAGTTCAGTTAGATTTTCTTGTCCTATACTAGCCCACATGTGTCATTGAAGAAGTGGCTTACAGCATAATTTCTAAAATTATCAATAAAAGTACACTGGGCTTAGGCTATATCCATGTTGTATAAATTTAGGGAAAATTTATTCTTATGCCTTTCTGATGGGAATCCATCTTGCTTGGGAGGACGTCTTTGAATTTACTTTTTTTTCCACAAAACTCGTTTTCTATCAAAGTACCAAATTATTAGCAGCAAAACTTTTTTTTTTAACAAAACTGTAATTTAAAAGGTACGTTATCAGTAGATAGCGATACACTTTTAGAAAGTCACTGAACCAAATTAACTCCAGTAGTAGTAATTTATAGGGATTTTCAGAGTGTTCATGCTTTTGTGTCTTGCTACTAATGCAAGTCCGTTTGTCCTAATTTGTACCCATGAGATCAGTGCTTAATGGCAGGCGTACAGCCTTTAGCCAGGTTCAGGGTTGTTGCCTGATCCACCATTCAGAAGCAATTGAAAGAGAATAGCTAATGCTTTGGAATTTTGTTTCTAAATCCACTGCATTAGCTATTCATTACAGCAGTAAGTTTTTTGATACATACTGTGGACAAAAACGTAACCACACAGTTTGTTTATTCAAAAATATCTAATTAAGGTGACTTGTAATTTTTTGCTGAGTTGTTAGACAGGAAATTTTGCTAAATTAGGTTAAACTTGAGGCAAGAATGTATCATTTGGAGACTGGCACTTTAAAGATGGTGTATAGTTCAGCTTTGTATGTAGCTTGTATCTGGCATATGTTAGGTAGCCATATGTGAAATAGAATTGTGTTTGTAGAAAAAATCTTTTTAATCACAAAGATAAATCAAACCAAATGGTCCTTTTTTTTTTTTTTTTTTTTTTTTGTGGATGCATTTGCTTAGTCCACAATGTTCAAATGTTGGGAAGAAGCATTTGTAGAGTTTTTTGTCTTCCTTACTGTGAAATACTAAGGTTTCACTTTAGTCTTCTACACTTCAGCAATCAGTTCTAAAAGATTCTAGTGATAATGTTCGGAATCAGAATTACTTCCAGTTACACTTTCTGCTAATCTTCATTGCTTCCTTTCCTGAGAAGTCAAGGTGGTGACGGGTTTTTTTCTGGTATTATTAGCTAATGTTTCATCAGAGTTGTATGTGAAGTGACGGGGAATTCTGTAAGGCTTTACCAGACATACATCTGGTATGAAAATATAAACGTTAGCTTCCATTTAACAGCGCGTGGCATACTATTTCTCAAATAGCATATGTCTCTTCCAGTAGAATATTCTGTTATTGATTTATGTTGGGTCTTGTTTTATTAAACAGGTTTAAACACTTAAATATTATTTTACAAGCGAACCACGGTCTTTTTATCAAGTACAAGTAGGGTTTTGTGCTGTTGATACGCTGTTACTATGGCTGATAATTGGAGGTTTTTAAACGATTTATGATATTGCTTTAGGGAAGATTTAGTGCGGAATGTGAAGGTCACAATCATATTGCACAGAAGCTGGGCCCAATATTTTTCTCAGTAAAGATTGAACTAGCAGAGTTGAAGGGGAATTCCTGTATCATTTATGATTTGGGTGGGAGATTGGCAAGAAAGTTGAAACTGCTGTCAGCTGGGAGTCCTAGCTTTGCAACATCTGGGGTTTTGTAAGTACATTGTCCTTTCTTTTTGCGTAGAGTTATAAGAAAGCTGTTAGTGCCCTAAATGCCCTAGTCTTGCATGAGGTGTTCTACAGTACATCAGTGAACTGGCCTTTTGCTATCAGAGATGATTGTGGGAAAGGGTGCTCAAGCCAGGGATATACCATCACGTGCTTAGAAGCATACTTGCAGCCCGGGGGAATGTACTCTGCTTAAAATCATTCCTTATACAGATGCCAGGATGTAGAAATTATTCCTATCTCTTTCTCTT